TAACAAACAGGGTATGAAATGTGTATTTATTCTAATTTTGATGCTGAAACATGGACAACAGAAAAGTTATTAAAAAAAACTTTGATATTAATCAAATTTAAAGCCTTGGGTCAGGACAAAGCTTGATATGTTCAAGAAACTGAACATGAACCATATATAAGGATCACATAGAACAAGCAGGTGGCAGTAAAAAAGGCTGAACAAAGCCATCCAAGCAATGAAAAAATGGTCATATTTTCTTCTAACTGCAGTAAGAACCTTTTTGAGGGCTTAAGGAAGGGGGTGATACTATTTGATTTGTATTATAAAGAAGGGTGGTCCTGAAGAAATTCTGCAGTGTCTTGCTAGGCAGCTACGTCACACGAGGTCACTCTGGATTATTCAGGCAAAAGTGAGTTAACAAATAGGGTTCAAAGAGCTGTTTCTACTAAAAAGGAGACTCAAAAGAATGTAGGGGTCCAGGGCTCCCAGCTTCACCTGAATCTTCCAGTCTCTATTTTGACTTTCAGAACCCCATTGCTTCCCAACCGATGCCCTCACCTTAACATAAGATATCCTGTTATGTTTCAGTCAGTCAGTTCAGTCGCTCAGTCATGTCGGACTCTTTGTGACCCCATGAATCGCAGCACGCCAGGCCTCCCTGTCTGTCACCAATTCCCGGAGTTTACTCAAACTCATGTCCATCGAGTTGGTGATGCCATCCAGCCATCTCATCCTCTGTCATCCCCTTCTCCTCCTACCCCCAACCCCTCCCAGCATCAGGGTCTTTTCCAGTGAGTCAACTCTTCCCAAGAGGTGGCCAGAGTATTGGAGTTTCAGCTTCAGCATCAGTCCTTCCAATGAACACCAAGGACTGATCTCCTTTAGGATGGACTGGTTGGATCTCCTTGAAGTCTAAGGGACTCTCAAGAGTCTTCTCCAACACCATGATTCAAAAGCAGCAATTCTTCATTGCTCAGTTTTCTTCACAGTCCAACCCTCCCATCCATACATGACCACAAGAAAAACCATAACCTTGACCAGATGGACCTTTGTTGGCAAAGTAATGTCTCTGCTTTTTAATATGCTGTCTAGGTTGGTCATAACCTTCCTTCCAAGGAGTAAGCGTCTTTTAATTTCATGACTGCAGTCACCATCTGCATTGATTTTGGAGTCCAAAAACATAAAGTCTGACACTGTTTCCAATGTTTCCCCATCTATTTCCCATGAGGTGATGGGACCAGATGCCATGATCTTAGTTTTCTGAATGTTAAGCTTTAAGTCAACTTTTCACTCTCCTCTTTCACTTTCATCGAGAGGCATTTTAGTTCCTCTTTCTGCCATAAAAGTGGTGTCATCTGCATATCTGAGGTTATTGATATTTCTCTCGTTAACTTGATTCCAGCTTGTGCTTCCTCCAGCCCAGCGTTTCTCATGATGTAGTCTGCATATAAGTTAAGTAAGCAGGGTGACAATATACAGCCTTGATGCACTCCTTTTTGTATTTGGAATCAGTCTGTTGTTCCATGTCCAGCTCTAACTGTTGCTTCCTGACCTGCATACAGGTTTCTTAAGAGGCAGGTCAGGTGGTCTGGTATTCCCATCTCTTGAAGAATTTTCCACACTTTATTGTGATCCGCACAGTCAAAGTCTTTGGCATAGTCAATAAAGCAAAAGTAGATGTTCTTCTTTGTGACCCCATGGAGCCCTACCAGGCTCCTCCATCCATGCGATTTTCCAGGCAAGAATACTGGAGTGGGTTGCCATTTCCTTCTCCAGGAGATCTTCCCAACCCAGGGATTGAACCTGCGTCTCCTGCATTGTAGGCAGAGGCTTTACCATTCTTTGCAGCCAAAGATGGAGAAGCTCTATATAGTCAGCAAAAACAAGACTGGGAGCTGACTGTGGCTCAGATCATGAACTCTTTATTGCCAAATTCAGACTTAAACTGAAGAAAGTAGGGATAACCACTAGACCATTCATGTATGACCTAAGTCAAATCCCTTATGAATATACAGTGGAAGTGAGAAATAGATTTAAGGGGCTATATCTGATAGACAGAGAGCCTGATGAACTATGGATGGAGGTTCCTGACATTGTACAGGAGACAGGGATCAAGACCATCCCCATGGAAAAGAAATGCAAAAAGGCAAGTTGTCTGAGGAGGCTTTACAAATAGCTGTGAAACAAAGAGAAGCAAAATGCAATGGAGAAAAGAAAGACACTCCCATTTGAATGCAGAGTTCCAAAGAATAGCAAGGAGAGATAAGGAAGCCTTCCTCTGTGATCAATGCAAAGAAATAGAGGAAAACAACAGGATGGGAAAGACTAGAGAGCTCTTCAAGAAAATTAGAGATGCCAAGGGAACATTTCATGCAAAGATGGGCTCAATAAAGAACAGAAATGGTATGGACCTAACATAAGTAGAAGATATTAAGAAGAGGTGCCAAGAATACACAGAAGAACTGTACAAAAAAGATCTTCACGACCCAGATAATCACAATGGTGTGATCACTCACCTAGAGCCAGACATCCTGGAATGTGAAGTCAAGTGGGCCTTAGAAAGCATCACTAAGAACAAAGCTAGTGGAATTCCAGTTGAGCTATTTCAAATCCTGAAAGATGATGCTGCGAAAGTGCTGCACTCACTAGGCCAGAAAATTTGGAAAACTCAGCAGTGGCCATGGGACTGGAAAATGTCACTTTTCATTCAAATCCCTAAGAAAGGCAATTCCAAAGAATGCTCAACCTACCACACAATTGCAGTCATCTTAAATGCTAGTAAAGTAATGCTCAAAATTCTCCAAGCCAGGCTTCAGCAATACGTGAAGCGAGAACTTCCAGATATTCAAGCTGGTTTTAGAAAAGGCAAAGGAACCAAAGATCAAATTGCCAATATCTGCTGGATCATTGAAAAAGCAAGAGTTCCAGAAAAACATCTATTTCTGCTTTATTGACTACGCCAAAGCCTTCGACTGTGTGGATCACAATAAACTGTGGAAAATTCTGAAAGAGATGGGAATACCAGACCACCTAACCTGCCTCTTGAGAAATCTGTATGCAGGTCAGGAAGCAACAGTTAGAGCTGGACATGGAACAACAACTGGTTCCAAATAGGAAAAGGAGTACTTCAAGGCTGTATATTGTCACCCTGCTTATTTAACTTATATATAGAGTACATCATGAGAAACGCTGGGCTGGAAGAAGCACAAGCTGGAATCAAAATTGCTGGGAGAAATATCAATAACCTCAGATATGCAGATGACACCATCCTTATGGCAGAAAGTGAAGAGGAACTAAAACGCCTCTCGATGAAAGTGAAAGAGGAGAGTGAAAAAGTTGGCTTAAAGCTTAACATTCAGAAAACTAAGATCATGGCATCTGGTCCCATCACCTCATGGGAAATAGATGGGGAGACAGTGGAAACAGTGTCAGACTTTATTTTTTGGACTCCAAAATCAATGCAGATGGTGACTGCAGCCATGAAATTAAAAGACACTTACTCCTTGGAAGGAAAGTTATGACCAACCTAGACAGCATATTAAAAAGCAGAGACATTACTTTGCCAACAAAGGTCCATCTGGTCAAGGTTATGGTTTTTCTTGTGGTCATGTACGGATGTGAGAGTTGGACTCTGAAGAAAGCTGAGTGCCGAAAAATTGATGCTTTTGAATCATGGTGTTGGAGAAGACTCTTGAGAGTCCCTTGGACTACAAGGAGATCCAACCAATCCATCCTGAAGGAAATAAGTCCTGGGTGTCTTTGGAAGGACTGATGCTGAAGCTGAAACTCCAATACTTTGGCCACCTCATGCAAAGAGTTGACTCACTGGAAAAGACCCTGATGCTGGGAGGGGTTGGGGGTAGGAGGAGAAGGGGTGACGGAGGATGAGATGGCTGGATGGCATCACCGACTCGATGGGCATGAGTTTGAGTAAACTCCGGGAGTTTGTGATGGACAGGGAGGCCTGGCGTGCTGCGATTCATGGGGTCACAAAGAGTCCGACATGACTGAGCAACTGAACTGAACTTAACTGAAGATGTTCTTTTGGAATGCTCTTGTTTTTTTGATGATCCAGCAAATTAAACAGAGGTATGCTGCATATTAAAACCACAGTGAGAAAGTTTTACAAGACCAGAAGGTCTAAAATTGAGAGAAGCTCTAAAAAGCTAAAACAAAAGAAAACTGACAATATGAAGTATTGTAAAAGATCCAATTTTCATAGAGTGCTCTTGAGAGTGTAAATTAGTACAATCTCCATTAAAACACTTTCACATACTCTACTAAAGATAAACATACATTTATTTTATGAGCCAGAAAATTCATCATAAGAATGTGTCCATCAGAAAAGCAGTCACTCTTTCTCTACAAAGATATGCACATGGATGTACTTGAAATATTTTTCAGAATAGCACCAAAACACGCGTCTCATGTCCATCTGTATAATGTATAAACAAATTGTTTCTTTTAATATAAGGGAATGTTGTAAAGCAATGAAAATAAATCAATTATACCTATGTATAACAACATAACCCCTTTCACAAACATAATGTTTACCCAAGAAGGTGTAAAAAATACATACTGCATGATTCCTTTTGTATTTAACTCAAAACAGGCTTTAGCAATCAGGATGGTGATTATTTTAGGGGAAGAATACCATAGTGGAAATGAGAGAGCGCAGAAAAGGAAGAATTTGACATACTGTGATACCCTTGACCCAAGTAATATTTACATAACTGTGCTTACTTTTTTTACAATTCAATGTATATATGCTTTTTATCTTTTTCTGGATGTGCCTTGCACTTCAAAGTAAAAAGTTAAATTAAAATACTCATACTATGGAAAAGAAATAGGCCTTAAAGCTTTAAAAGATAGTTCAGTGAAAACAATCAAGATTATATTTGCATGTACTTTTCCAAAAGAAAAAGGGAAGATTTTGAAGAACACCTCAAATTGTATTTTTCAAAAAAAAAAAAAAAAAGGAAGAGACGGACAGTACTCAGTGATGAAATTTTGCCTACCTTTGTTGCTGCTTCACATCAGATTTTCAATGCCTTCTTCACCACTGGAAATAGAATCATGAATGCCTCTGAATCCAATCAGACTAGAGAACCAATTCCAGAAATCTTGGAACCAATTCAGAAAGCCCATCCTTATTCTGTTCTCCATAACCACTCTCAGTGTCAAAGTACCTGGCATTCAGGGCTCCATAGAGAGAACCAGAAGGGTCTGTGCCTGTGTGTACATATGTGTGATACATACATACTTAATATATTCAATTATGTATTTTAAATGTTTACATTTTATACATTAAAGTAGTATATACATGGTGTGTCAATCACTCAGTCGTGTCCGACTTTTTAATATCCCATGGACTGTAGCCGCCAGGCTCCTCTGTCATGGAATTCTCCAGGCAAGAATACTAGAGTGGGTTGCCATGCCCCTCCAGGGGATCGTCCTAACTCAGGGATCAAACCCAAGACTCCCGCATTGCAGGCAGTCTTTACCTTCTGAGTCACTAGGGAAGCTCATATAACACATTAAATGTTACAAGACACACAAAAATATATGTTACAAACTTACATATATCACAATTAAAAATCGCACCTTTTCACAAAAGGTGCACAAGCTGGCTGACCTCGGGCGCGCAGAGGCCGGAGCTCCGCCCACGAGGAGACGCAGACGCTGTGTGACGTGGGGTCACGCCGTCGGGCTGTGACCCCGGCCCGGCCTCAGCCTCGAGGCACGGCTGTGAACCCTCCTCAGACAGCAGAGGGGACATGCAGTCTGGCCCTGCAGCAGCTGCCGCAGCCATTCCTGGAACATGAACTGCAGGCCCTGGCCGAGGCCGAGGCCCGCCAGACGCAGACAGTGCGAAGCCCCAGGAGCCCAGGTATACAATTCTAAACGAGTGTAATGCAAGAATTAAAAAAAAACAAAAACAAAAACAAAAAGGTAGGGAGTGAGGGAAAAAAAAATATATATATATACACACATACACATAAATATGCGTCTTTATATATGAATGTCTGCTTCTACTTTGGTTTTTGATAATATACGATGCTGTATAGTCTCTGAGGTGTGTCAGACTCTGTGACCCCATGGACTATAGCCGACTATAGCCGGCTCCTCTGTCCGTGGTGTTTCTGAGACAAGAATCCTGAAGTGGGTTGCCATTTCCCTCTCCAGGGGATCTTCCCGACTCAGGGATCAAACCCACGTCTCCTGCTTGGTAGGTGGATTCTTTACCGCTGAGCCACCTGGGAAGCCTTGATAAAATAGATATTGAGGCTTTTTGTCATGGCACCATGTACCAAGTGAAAAAGTTAGTCAAGGACTCTGCCCTTTAAATGCTACAGCGAGCAACTGATTGCATAAGTGATTAGGTAAAGTGCATCAGTTTGTATGGGGGTGGGGTGGGGTGGGCGGGATGTAGTATGCTCTAAAATCTCAGTGGACTGTCACGGGACAGACCAAAGATGCCAGGATAGTGAGATAAATACATTGATAGCTGCTTTTCCTAGACTCCTACAGCCTGCTTGTACCTAAGGGCATCCTTCCTCTGGTGGTTCTATCATCTTGGAAACTGCTTCCCTAAATAATTGTGTAATTCACTACCTTAGTTCATGCAGGTCTCTGCTGAGATAGTCATCTCACCAGCGTGGTTTCCCTCCCCACTCTTAACACTTCATGATTCTGTACTCTCCTTTCCCTAATTTATCAATTTTTTTTTGCATATACAGACCATATTTATTTAACAAAAATATAAAGATAGCGATTGTAAAAATTAGAGGATAATATTCATCACAGTTACTAAGAAGTAGACAATTTGATATTTTCCATCTTTCTCCTTTTTGTTATTCTTATAGATACGTGGTAGTAGCTCAATGTGGTTTTAAGCTTAATTTCTCTGAAATCTTGATCCCTTTTCATTCAGATGTCCTTTTAAAAATCTCCATTTATTTACTTATCAAGCTGGATCTTTTTCTTGTGGAGTCTGCGTTCTGGAGTATGCAGATTATGTCCCTGTTGTGCTGTGGTTCTATTCTTCTGACTCATCCTATTTCCTTTAAATTAATTATAACTGTTCATATAGAGGCTTGCTCAGATTCAAATTTGTGGAAAGAGTACCTGAGATGTGGTGGTGTACTTCCTATAGCCCTGTTTCAGGAGTCTCTTCATTTCTGATTGTCTTTCCTCCTGTGTCCTTGAGACGGATCACAGAGGGGAAGGGGGGTCTTGTCAGTCTGATCCATCCATATGACATTTCCCATCTGCCTTTTAACTCATGTTTTCTTAGCCTCTTAGAGATTATGGCCTAGATCTATATTTCATTAATGGTTGTAAATGGTAATGTTTTAATTCTATAATTCCTTTTGCATTTATTAGCTGGAATTCTTCTAAAATAAACTTTCCCTCATCAACTGTGAGGTTACACTGATGTCTGGTTGACACAGAAGAGAAAAATTAACACTTAAATCTTTTGCAGTAATTCTGATTTTCAAGATAGTGAGTTGTTTCTGTGGGATTCTCCAAAGGTGAAATTTGTTGCTGTTTTTTTTTCTTTTAGAGTGTTATCATATGCTATAGATGTTTATATACTTGATGTTTTAATCCGTTGCAGGTATTAACATTTTTAATATTCAAACTGTTCTATTTTTGGGCTGTGAGAGCCTTTTGGTTGGCTTCTGAATCTTTAGGTTGGCTATTGTCTCTCTAACATGTGTTCTGATATGAGAGTTTGGTTCAGACTCATCTGCTACAATACCCACCATTTACTCCTTTGTACACTTTTGTGTGAAATCCAGGAGACCATGAACTCTATTTGTATTATTCACTGATGTATTTATTCTTAGTCTGTACAATGAAATTTGATACAAGGTTAACCTTTAAATGCTTGTTGAACAGATGAATTGATATGTATAATTTAAAATTTGGAATATAAGTATAAATTAAACTGAAGTGGAGAAAAGGGGATAATAAATTTGAGGCAAACAAAAAACATGAGCCTATAGTCAGACATTTTAGAAAATGTACTTTCAAATAACTGAACAATATTGAGTGGCTGGAGTAGTGAATATAAAGCTAAGGATGGGGAAAGAGGCAACCTGAAAGGCTGAAATAATCATTGGCTGTTAGTTTGGGCTAGTTTACCCAGCTGGCACAATGGTAAAAAAATCCACCTATCAATGCAGGAGAAGCAGAAGACACGAGTCGCATTCTGGGATCTGGAAGCTCCCCTGGAGAAGGAAATGGAATGTCATAACACATTCATCTAAAACACGATAATTTAAACCCAGATGTTTAATGTAAACTTGTTATTGAAAATTATGTGACTAAGGACCAGCATCCCTGCGGAGTTGTATCTTGGTTTGGCTTTTCCCAAATTTAGATCCAGAGAAGGGAAAATGTGTGAAAGTACTTGATTTGAGGGTTGTAGATGACATCAGTATGGGAGTGGAAAGGTTGGTAAGCAGAGAGGCCTCAGTAGTAATGGGTGCACTATCCATCCTGTTACCATTATCCCTCTCTGAAACTTAATTTCAAGGGGGAAATTCTGAAAAGTGGTGTAAAACACATACCTCAAAATACAGTCTTCAGGGAGTAATTGTATGTACATAGAAATTTCCATCAGACATTGGTTGAGAGATAACTCTGGAGGTGCTCATTTCTTCATTACCAACAGTCTGCAGTGCGCATGGGCAGAGGACGTAAGGCTATGGAGAATACCATACCAAAGAGATGCTGACATTGGCACAACACAAGCAAATGACAAGGCCTGAGCTGTTGGACAGCGGGCTGAAAGGCTACTGAAGGTTCAGACTGGTTCAGCATTTTTTCATTCATAAGTAAAACCATTCTACGAGTCTGTCATAAATATTTTGCATGTAATTGGTTGAATACTTTCAAAATTAAATTTAGATTCAGTAATTATTAAGGCCAGTTTTACACTTTTCTTATGCCTTTAGTCATGCAAGAGTGACTATGTGTTATATAACCATTCTCCAGAATGCATATTACCCTTTAAAATTTAGTTTAAACATTAGTGAAATAATATCAAATCTTATGGTAATTATTCTAAAGATACACATTTTGCAGCAACAGCCTGTATATAAACTCTCTTATACTTGAATTGTTTTGACTACTTTCAAATTACTAAAATGAAATGGCATTTAGAATAAATTTACTTGTTCCATAGTTGCTTTATTCCGAGTATGCTCCATTAGTCTAATTTTCTACCCTTCTCAAATCTTTGAATTTGACTAATTACAAATCAAGTTATTTAATGTATTTTCAATTAATTATATAAAAGGAATCTCATACAATGCCTGTATATTTTATATTTGCCTTATACTGCTGCATTCCTTTATCAGTTCTATTTTTAAAATACATTTTTATTATATTTATTAAATTTTGTTTCCTAAAAGCATCTAGCCACATGGTTTGTTTTGTTTACTTTGTTATATCTTACTTGATTAACCTCATGTTATAATGAAATATAAAAGTTTTTGGAAAATATGGAAACAAATCTTTAAACAGTGATTTTATTTAAAAAAAAAGTTTTTCACCTGCAACCTATGTGTAATTAAGCATTGTATGTTTTATACACTTAAAGATATATATTGCTGTTTAAAAAGTATGTGTTTGAACATAGCTTTGAAAAAGATGCATCTCCTAAAATATGAAATATTTTTATATTTATTAATTTTTCTAATATGCAATAATATTTTGTAAGACATTTATAGAGATGATCAGAATTTTTATATTTACTTAGGTGCCAAGTATTAATGATGATTTTCTTTAAATTATTTATATTTTGAATCTTTAGAATTATATGATTCAGAAAGTGACAGTGAAATGTGCTCACTTGTCCGACTGTGACCCCATGGGCTATGTAGCCCATGGAATTCTCTAGGCAGAATACTGGAATGAATAGCCTTCCCCTTCTCCAGGGAATCTCCCCAACCCAGGGATCAAACCCAGAAAAGATTATTAAGTTTATACAATTTTGTGTGTATTAACAAAACTTTGCTAAGGGATATTACTTTGAAAAAACCTAATTGATATACCAAAACCTGTACATATTTAATACATGCAGTTTAACGAGTTTGGACATTCATGTGGCCATCATTACAGTCAAGGTACTAAGCGTACCCAATACCTCCAAGTGTTTCCTTTTGTCCTCTGTGTGTGTGTATGTTTTAAAGAATACTTACTTACTAATACTTAATACTGTCTATTAAGAATACTTACTTGTTATACTTACCTAATAGTACTTTCATAATAAGTACTGTTTTCATAGTATTTCATAGTAATAGATCACTGTTACCTGTAGGCCCAACATTGTGCAGTGTATCTCCAGAATCATTCATTTACACAGTTAACACTTTATACCAGTTAGCAGTAACTCCCTCTTTCCTCCTACCCCATCTCCTGGCAACCAGCATTCTACTGTATGCTTCTATGAGTTTGGTTACTTTAGATTCTTCATATAAATGAAATCATGCACCATTTGTCCTTTCTTCTATTACTGGCTTGTTTCACTTAGCATAATGCCCTCTAAGTTTAACCATGTTGTTTCAAATGGCAGGGTTTCCTTCTCTTTTAAGGATAAACAATACTACGCTATACATGTATACCACATTTACTTTATCCATTCATCCATAGATGGACTTTTAGGTCATTTCCTAAATTTGGTTATTGTGAACAATCCTCCCAGTGAACATGGTGTGTAAATATCTCTTTAAGATCCTAATTTGAATTATTTTGGATATGTAATGTTATTTCAGAAATGTTATTTCTGGATCTTGTGATGATTCTATTTTATTTTTTTGAGAGATGTCTATGCTCCATAGCAACTGCACACATTACGTTCCCACCAACAGCACACAAAAGTTGTAATTTCACCATCTCTTTGTCAAGATTTCTCATCGTCTGTCTTTTTGATAAAAGCCATTCTGATAGATATGAGGTCATCTCTCATTGTGGTTTACATTTGCATTTCCCTGATTATTACTGATGTTGAATACTTTTTCATATACCATATACATGTCTTCTTTAGTGAAATATCTGTTCAGGTGCTTTGCCCATTTTTCATTCAGCTTATTTGCTTTTTGTTAGTTTTTGCTATTGAATTGTCTAAGTTCTATATATTTTTTATATAAACCTTTTATAAGATAATATGATTTGCAAATACTAGCTTCCATTCCATAAGTTGCTTTTTCATTTTGTTGATTATTTCATTTATGATGGAGAATCTTTTTAGTTGATGCAGTTCCACTTACTAATTTTTGCTTTTGTTGCCTATGCTATCTTATTCAAGGAATCATTGCCAAGATTAATGTCAAAAAGTTTTTCCTCTATGTTTCCTTCTAGGAATTTTAGAGTTTCAGGTCTTACATACAAGTTTTTAATGCAAATTGAACTGATTTTTGTGTATAATAAATAATGTGTAAAATAATGCTCATTTTTTTCTTTTGTATGTGGGCACCCAATTTTCCCAACACTATTTGTTGAGGAGACTATTCATTTCCTGTTGTGTATTCCTGGCACCCTTGTTGAAGATCAGTTGACTGTATATATTGTTTTATTCCTTTGATCTCTATTCTATTCCGTTAGCCTCTATGTCTGTCTTAATGTCAGTACCATACTTCAGCTATGTATTACTTTCTCAATATTCCTTTGGCTGAGTTCTTTTGTGGTTCTGTATGAATTTTAGAATTTTTTTTTCTACTTTTGTAAAAAATTTCCTTGGGATTTTGATCGATTTAGCACTGAACCTATAAAGTCACTATGATAAGCGCAATAACAAACTGAAGGAAAAAAATTACATGATCATCTCAGTAGGTACAGAAAAAGTATTTGACAAAATTCAGTGTCAATTCATGATAAAGATTCAATAAATTATGTACAGAAGAAATTTACCTCAACATAATTGACTCATAAATGACAGGTCCACAGCTAACAGAATATTCCACCATGAAAAATCTTTGAAAATTTGAAATCTTTTCATCTAAGATCTGGAGCAACTTGTAGAAGCATATTCTGCAGCTTCTAATCAGTATAGTACATGTATCTCCTAGGTAGAGTAAGAAAAAAAAGGCATATAGATTGGAGAGTAAGAAGTAGAATTTTGTGTTGTTTTCATATAACATGATCTTATGTGTAGAAAACCCTTAAGACTACACACATACATGCACAAACTAGTAGAACTAGCAAATGAATGCAAGGAAAAAGTCAACATAGAAAAATTGTGTGAGTTTCTAATACTGTAACAATGAACTATCTGTAAACATTTTAAACAATGATTTCGAAATATGATCACACTAATAACAAGAAGTCTATAAACTAATAAACTGTAAACTGAATTTTTAAAAATATCTTTGAGTGTATTCATTAATTAATATTATGTTGGCCAATTTTTGCTATGATTATATTATAGCAAAATGCTGTTGCCTTCAGAAAGTCATAATCAAGGAACAAACCATACAACTGAGTGAATCACATGAATCATCTTATATAATCAAGCATGTTTTTTGTGGTTAAGTGTCAGTTTTTTAGTTCAGTCTCTGTTCTTAGCCTGTAGTTCCACTGCAGACTTCTTAAACATGTTTTTGATGATTTAGAAATTCCTTGTGATTTTTATTTCATTGGATTTGACTCATGACTATTAGCTGTAGATGCTCAAGTTGGAAATGAAATATAATGAAATACAGAGAACTTTCATAATAGAGATTACAATTCTATATATTAATAATTCAAGTATAGAATATAATTAAAGTATCAAATTATATTTAAACTATTGAGCTGGATAAGACATAAGAAAATGTTTTTCCAGTAATCATCAGAATATGATATGTCTTTGTTATTAATTTTAGAGTGGTTTTTGCCATGTTGGACATAGATTGAATGGATGTAAATAGTAGCACTGTTCATAAATAGGTTAATAAAAAAGACTTGTGCTGAACACAAAGCATTAAAAAAAGCATACGTATAAGACATGAAATCTTCAATTTAGGTTATAGTTAGAAGTGTTAACAATTTCCATATATCTGGATAGTTTATATAGAATGTGAATTCACACTGCCTGAGATATTTCCTCAAATATTTCCTTAGCTCTATACCAGCTCCTTTTAAAATTATAACATTAAACATGTCTCTCAGGTTTGTCATGAGTCTCCTTCTCTTACTTCTCACTCCTAGGGGCTGTGACAGGTAGCTTTTGACATTACTTCCAATGACGCCACCTCTTAGAATTCATGCTCTAGTATCATGTAAACTTGGCCCATTATATGTGAGTTGGGCCTAGTGATTTGGTCCTAATGAATAGAGTATGGAAGTTAATGGGTTTCCATTTCTGGTATGAACTTAATTGTGACTTTCATGTTGGTTGCACATATTCTTTTTCTCTTGCTGGTAGTCTCTCTTATCTCATTGGATTATTCTGATAAAGTCATGTTGTAAGATACTGTATGTAGACAAAAATGTGTCAAGAACCTAAGAGACCGTTATATTCGACATCTCGTGAAGAACTCAGGTCTCAGTTTAACTTCCTGTGAGTAACTGAAGGCCACCAACAACCTCATGAGTGAGTGAGGAGGTGAATCCTTCTCAGTGGATACTTGAGGTAAAGGTACTTTGTGAGAGACCCAGAGCCCAGTGTATCACCTATACCTTTTCAGTTTCCTAAATTACAAACATTGTGAGACAGTAAATGTGTCATGCCACTAAGCTTTGGGATAATTTGTGATTGTAGCAATCAACATTCAATATAATATTGGCTGTGAGCTTATTTATTCTCGTGGATTCATCTCTCATTAACTTACTGACAAGCTAACATTCAAGTTACATGACACTGATGTCTATTGAAATTCACACCCATATTTCAAAATTCTATTTTTATGTCTACATTTGCTATCTCTTAGTAGACACAATAACAGTCTGAATGAAATTAAACTCATCTTTTTTCCTAAAATTTATTTTCTCTCTTAAATCTTAGTTCATGAAATGATACTTTAACCAAACCAGTTTCCCATAATAGTGTTTCAGATTTAGAAGTTATTCTTAGTCCTCTACCACCCTCTCATGAATCTACCATATGATTTTAAATATATATATATTAAAATTATTTTATTCTACTTTTAAATGCTTCTGAAGTAGTTTTTATAACTCCTGTTTATACCTGAGTTTAAAATGCTGTCAATTTTCAAGTGAATTGCTATACCAGCTCCTTGAGGAATATACATTTTGGGTATGGCAATGAAAATTATATTTTAAAGATAGACATCTGCTCACAATTTTTTCGTAACACTTTTAAAGGAAACTCTTAATTTCTTTCAGGTAAAAGTCAGACCTTTAATTTGAGTTTAAAAAGATATAATAAAAATGTCCTTTTTAACTCTCATATGTCATTTTTTTCTGTTTGTTTTAATCATAAGCTCATTGAAGCAGTCACATTTTTCTATATTATTTTTCCCCTCAGGCATAGTTCTGTTTCTTTTCAATGAATTCATGAAAGAATGAACAGATGAATGATTAAATATAGTGTTGCAAATTATAGCCTTCTTAATATTAAGATTATGTTAAGAAACACTCTACTCTGTTAAATATATTGGCTTGCAAAGACAGAAATGTGTGAATTTTAGTCCCAGCTTTGTGATTAGTTTTTTGTTTTTGAAATTCAGAAAAATACTCTATAGATAATCACACTGGTTCACTACGTTGATATTTCACTATAATTTAACCTGGTGAGCTAAAATAATAAGCATTCCAGATGCAATAGTAAGATACATAAAGGCAAGAGGATGGAGAAACACAGAAATGAAAAATAACATGAAAGGGGTTAGAAACAAAGAATACATAGTAAGAAAGTCTAGCATATGTTAACATTGAGGCAGAGGCAATATCTGACTACATGCTTCAGGCAACTGGCCACAGGACAAACTAGTATTCTAAAATGTAACAGTCTCGCCAGTTAACTATGTGTATCAGTGGTCGACATTACTTAATGAGCCAAACATCATTTGGGTACTACTGCTAAGAGAAAATTCTGTTGTCTCAATGCCCCACTAATGCTTGGAAATGCTATTGTTTGACAGGAGGAGAAAAAAGTAAACTAATTCACTTACTGGGTTAGCTTTCCTGCACTGTTATGTCAAATTCAAAGTGGAAGGAGGTCCTGTCACCTTTCCCATCTACTCTTGTGATACGTTGCACGAGAAGAGCCATAGAGATAGGTCTATATTCTTCCCTTCAGTATATTCCTGAACGAACCCAACTACAACACATTTGAGGGCTTTTAGATTGTGAATAAGCACAAAGTATTTTTACCAGCAGATTATCTGTGTTAAAGGAAATAAGATGAGTGATATGTAAAGTGGAGATTAATTTGTCACCTCTAGTTTGCTTAGATTTACATTT